GCATTTTGAGTGCCTTGCAACCTGAGGGGCTCATTTTCCGGCACTATATCTGACAGTGTTTCTCTGCTATTCATAAGGTTTTCAGTGACTAAATATTCGGAAGTAGTTTGTCACTCCTTCTTCCTAGTCTGTCTTAGTCTGGAAGCTCTAAATGGTGACCCTGCTGGTATTTAAAATACTGGTGGCATAGCTTCCAGAATCACAGCAACTCACAAGCCACCACATTACAACAAACTGACAGACGAGTGGTGGTTAAAATATGTAGGTATATTCTAAATAATTTTTTGTTTGAATATTTTCTTTTTCAGTGATCTGTTTCTTAAAGGTAGCCAATAGACCCCAACATTCTGACATTTGTTGAAAAGTCTTAGGCTTGATGGGTATGTGGTCTTGAGTCCAAAGAAACAAGGAGCGGGGATTTAACCAACTGGTTTCTAGTTCACAATTAGTCTACTTTCTTCCCTGCCTCTCCCATTACCTCAACTCAGTCACTTTCAGACTTCAGATTCTGTTCCTGGCAACACCCAACATCTGAGTATTTATTTCTATTACTCAGAACTTTTGGTAGCAATGACAGAATGCCAACTCAGATTAGTTTAGGCAGAAGGCCATTTTATTGGCTTGTAAGTCCAACTGTAATCCACACCGAAGGCTGTATTAATGAACTCAAGAGTGGCAACAGTAGTGAGGTTGGCCCAGGATCGGGCAGCATTTCGTTCTGCTGTGCATATGGTAACTATGGGTCAGTACCGACTCGATGGCACCTAACAACCACAACAAGCCCAATTGTGTGAGAAAAACTGCTTTCAAGGTAGTGGAGAATGAAGGGTGATGCCTTCAGAGATTTTCTCATGTTGTCTTTTTTTTTTTTTAATGTTTTTATTGTGGATTGAGTGAAAGTTCACAAGTCAGATCATCAGTTTTACATTCAACCAATCAAACACCTTGTTTCATTACAATGATTATAATCCCCTCCATGTATCATCAGTTAAATACTGTTGCATTTCTTTCTATTCATTTTAGCTCTTTTTTTTTTTTTTTTTTTTTTAAACACTCAGGCATATGTAATAATTTACACCAACAAAAGGCACATTCTGCAAGTCTGCCTCCTGGCCACCAGCTCTTAGTTCCTCTCTTCCCATAAATCTAGAGTCCTCAGCCAATCCCCGTCTCCATGACCCCATCTCTGCCTCCATCTCTGGCGTTGCTGCTTCTCAAAATAAGGTCCTGCATTCCGCTTGTGCTCTTCTCCCTTGATGGTCCTAGGGTCCTCTGTTTCTGGATTGTAAGATGAACTACTCCCCCGTTTTTGTTACAAAACTACTACCTTTACAATTGTGACAGTCACAATTCATCATGATAATATAATTACTCACTATTGAATCATAAGAATCTTTCTTATCTGCATCTCTTTTCACGAGACCTGCCTAGACAAGATGAAAACTATTCAGTGGGGACTTTCTTCCCCACACACTCTTAAACTAAACCCTCTCTTGAAACCTTGTAAGCCAGTTACTTCATGCCTTTATCTCCCCCTCATTTTAGGTAGCCAATATCTAACTTGCCCGTCCCTATCTATCCTGTGTACAGAGGGGATAGCATTGAAACTTGATGTGAAGCCTCCTTCCCTCTCTATTGGTATTTAGAGTTACTACCTCAAAACTGACTCGATGGCACTTCACAACAACAAACCTCCATGAGTATAGGTCAAGTTCATCAAATTATAGCAATTTATCCTCATTACCTTTTGTGTTGTCTCTTACCTGCTTCTCTTGGTGTGTGAAGTTCATTTTTCTCTGATAGTTGATCCAACTCAGACTGAACCATGGCTTCTGGAAACTCCAGAACTATATTTGCCAACTTTACCAAAAGAAAGGACTTCCTCCTTCCCACTCAAATAAAGAAGTTCAGTAGGCTCAAGTCTCACACACACACACACACACACACACACACACACCCTGTGGCCAGCATCAGGCTTTCACAGTGAGCAGTTCCCATTCAGCTCATAAACTGATAGTGCAAAAGAAAGTGGTGGCATTCTAAGAAGGAAGCAACGATAGCTGAATACATTGTAGCTATATAAGGTTTCTATTTTCTACCTTTTATTTCTGTGTTTTCTCTTGGCTCACTGTGATTTCAAAGGCACCATCCCCTTCTGTTCTGGGAGCATAGTGGTTACGAATCAGGCTGCTAACCTCAGCGTCAGCAGTTCGAAACTACCAGCTGTTCCTCAGGAGAAAGATGAGGCATTCTGCTCCTGTAAAGATTTACAGCCTTGGAAACCCTGTACAGGGTGGCTATGAGTCGGAACCGACTCCACGGCACATAACCACCACTACCATCCCCTTCTACCTTCTCCATTACTTTCTTGGTTTATCTTAAGGCTGCTTGTGAAAAGGCAAAGTGCAAAGATTTGTCATTAGACTTTCAAGGCAAATTAGTCTTATAGGTTTTTTCTCAGGGTCAGGGGAGAATGAAGAACAAGCCTAGTTTGATGCTGGGAGGGATAGGGTAGGTCTGGGTGGGGCTGGAAAGAACAGGGTGTAGTGGGGGAACACCCTGGTTATGAAATCAAAAGACTGGACCTACCACTGACATGTTCAGTGACCTCAGGTGATTCCTTTCTCTTCTCTGAGTCACATGTTCTTTCAAAATATGAAAGAGTTGGTCATGGTGATCCCTCAGGGCAGGTCAGCACTGCTACTCTGTGAGAATGTGGAGTTGCTCTTGAGACCATCCAAGGTGATGTAACAGTGTCTGCCATTTCTCTACATGAATAATCAGAAAACCCAGAGATCCTCCCGAGATGGGGGTGGATATTTCCTGGTAGAGCTAAGGGAACACAATCTTTGCCTCTTGTAACACTATAGATCCACCCCTAGTGACAGGCCAAGCGGGGACTATATAAAGCCAGTCTCAGCCTCAGCTCTTCACCAAGCACCTCCTGACAACATGAGATCCCAACGCCTCATGCTCCTTGTCCTTGGGACACTGACTGTATTCCTCGTTCTTGGGACCCTGGCAGTAGAGGCAGCTGTTGTTGGAGGTAAGTAGATAGATGGTCCGGGTGGGCTCTTGGGTCCTGCCCGAGAATACTTCTGTGTACTCAGTAGGTAGAGACGGAGCCCTGCAGCCTAAGGCCACTCACTTTGCTGTACCCACAGAAGGCAGGAAGTGGTCCAGTGGGCTCCCTATGCTTTCTGCCCCAATGTCAGGAGAAGAGAAATGTTATGTGATGTTGTCCTTGAATGCTGATTCCTGTGCAAAATGTGCAACCAAGGGAGGAGCCTCAGGAGTGTGGATTTTGCTACCTCTGTCTGCCCCGTGAAAGCACTCTAAGAGGAGGCTAAGAACCAACAAGTCCTCAGAAATCTTGTAATTTGAAGACCTCCATTTCACTAAGAAGGAAACTACAACTTAGACCCCTTCTCTGCCATTGCTGTAGAGTTGATTCTGGCTTATGGTAAACTCATGTGTCAGAGAACTGCATTCTGTAGTTTTCAATGGATAATCTTATGGAAGTAGATTGCCATACCTTTCTTCTGCAGTGCCACTAGGTGGATTAGAACTGCCAACTTTTTGATTAGTAGGCGAATGCAGACTGCACCATCCAGCAATAGAGACTTAGAGACGAGTGAGGATTTGTCATGGCTATTTCCAGAACCAGCATGTGGCTCAAGCTTTCTGGCCCTCAGCCCAAGGCTCTTTTCCTTCCACTCAGTTTCCTCAGAAATGGTGATGGGAATCACTCTACTGCCCCAGCACTTGGGATGAGGGTAGAGGGATAATGAACACTTGCGAGAACTATGGTCCTGTGAACAGCCTTCCAAGAGCCAGACCGTATCTCAAGGCCTGGGGAACACTGTAGAGAACAGTGGCTGGCTTTAGGGGAAAGAATGGTAATTTAAGGAGGGCAGTGGATCTAAATGTTTGTCTTCTTTTAACTGTTCCAGTCAAAGGTCAAGGCGCTGCCAAGGGTCATGTCTTGGTCAAAGGACAAGATCCGGTTAAAGGACAAGTTTCAGTTAAAGGTCAGAAACCCGTCAAAGGCCAAGATCCTGCCAAAGATCTAGTGTTCTCTAAGGCTGGCTCCTGCCCTGAAGTTTTTATCCGGTGCGCCATGTTAAATCCTCCTAACCGCTGTCAGAGTGACACTGAATGCCCAGATATCAAGAAGTGCTGTGTGGGTTCTTGTGGGATGGCCTGCTTGAACCCCCTGTGAGGTGAGGACTATGTGGAGGCAGAGGGGTTCTTGAGGGCTGAAAAAAGGGCTGTGTGGTGGGTAATGATCTCAGATTAGGGGGCAGGGAGGATATAGGAAGGTAACGGGGAGACTGAGGGGCCTCAAAGGTCATACCTAGGGTTGTGGGAAGGGTGAGATACATGGACTTGACCCTGTATCTCATTTCCTCTGACCTACTAAAGCCACATCCCTGAATTTTTCTCTCCTTCCAGGTGGAACCTGTTCTCACTGCACCTGTGAAGACCCCAGGACTGCAGCCTCCAAATGGTCCTGGGGTGTCATAGCACTATCCATTCTGGCCAGCCTTCTTCCGTTTACAAATGTCCAAGCCTGGGATTGCCTCGCTCATCTACTTTCCAATAAAAAGACTCCCTTCTGCTACATTTGTTTCTGACTCTTGTGATTTGTGTGCCACCTGGAAGCTATAGGGAGACGGGTGTGGAATTAGGACTTCCTCTTCCTGTGTGTGAAGCCAACTAGAGACAAGAACAAGAGGCGTATTCCTAGAGCTTAATCTTATAAAGCCAATAATCAACCCAAGTCGGCTGTCTTCATTTCACCAGGAAATGGAAATCTGGACAGTTTGGCCTAGGACCAGGAAAAACACCAAAAACTTTGCATAAACTACCAGCAGGCTCTTTTTCTTTTCTTTTTTTTTTTTAACAGTCTACCTGGATACTATTATCTATGCCAGTGTGAATAACCTACTCCTATGGTCAAAACTAAAGCTCCTTTTTCTTCAATATTTCTCTGGAATCTACATACACCCACTCCTTATTTATCAATATGGTTAGGCTCAAAGACCAAGTCAATGGACGAAGTCCACATCAGATCACAGATAGAGGATGACTACATCACTACGTAACTTCTAAATTCCATTATTACACAACTGCCAAGCCACTGAGAATCATGGCCCAGACAAGCTGACATGTGACAGTAACTATCACAGCCAGTATTACTCTTACCTCTCACCTACTGCCAGACAGACATTATTATTGTGTAAAATAGTCAGAATGTAGACTTTTTATTATTGCTGTGAATAAAAAAGGTAAGATAATGAGATAGTTGATAAGTGAGGAGTAGTTATACTCCCATGAAGACATATGGCAGGACTTCAAAAGGTCATGGAAAAACATAATTAAAAGATCATGGATTTTTTTTGTCAAATTAAAAAAAATTTCTTATGGAAATAGTGGTGTTATAACTGTTGGGAAATCCCTATTCATTAAGAATTTTATCTGTGCCGGCGATTCCTCCACTAGTACAGCATCCCTTGAGGTTACACTTTGTGTTTTAAGATATGAATGATGAGACAAGACATACTAAACCCTTGGTAGGTTAGTGTAAGTAAGTGGGTGAATGGTCTCCTCTGGAGACATACAAGTTAGGGGCAGGACAGATTTGAGTAGCGAAGTTAAGGGAGGGCATATATATGTTGGGTAAACTTGAATGATCTCATGGCTTTGCTGGTTGTCTACCTTGTTTGCCCTTACACAAAGAAGCTTTCAGGGAATGTCAAGGCCTCAGAAGGAAGAGTCATTTTGGGTGGAGTGAAAGAAACACTGGCCACTGGCTTGGGAGTTCTAGTCCTAATTTGACTCCCCACTCTTTCAAATAATCTTTCTCTCTTTAGACTCAGTTTTTCTATTTATTTAGAAAGGAGTAGATGTCATTACTCTGGAGGTCAAGTGTAACCCTAACATTCTGACATCTGAAACAACTCTTCTTTCAAGGTTTAAGTCAACTCTCTTATTGTATGTTAATCTGCTGTGAGTGGAAGTAACAGGCTAGGGATGTATGATGCTTTGGGTTTTGTGTTGGCTTGGCTGGGCCAGTGGTTTAACAGTTAAGAATTACTAATTCCACATGATGTGATTTGATGTGATTAACTCTGGTCTCAGGTAATTATCCTATGTGTTATAAACTCTTCTATGATGTTAATGAGGTCAGATACAGTTTACAGGATTAGTTTATTTTTTGAGTCCATCTTTTTGAGATACAAAAGGAGAGAGAAGTAAGCAGAGAAAGAGGGACCTACTCCCAGAAAGAAAGAAACGTGTTCTTTGGACCTGGGTCCTTAGACTGTGAAACTTCTAGATTGAGTGGAAGATTGATGCCAAGACACATGGAGATCTTCAAGAAAGGCTGGGCCTGCAGTTGCTGACAGGAGACAAGGCTCTTTTGCCAGAGCTGGTGCTCTGAATTTGTACTTCTAGAGTCCTAAACTGTTGCAACAGTACATATACAGGGAACTGCCTGAAATTCAAACTGGATTCAGAAGAGGACATGGAATTAAGGGTATCATTACTAACATCAGATGGATCTTGGCCTAAAGCAGAGTACCAAGGAATATGTTTACTTGTGCTTTATTGATTATGCAAAGGCTTTTGACTGTGTAGATCATGACAAACTATGGATATCATTGTGAAGAATGGGTATTCCAAAACACTTAATTGTGCTCTTGAGGAGTCTATACACAGACCAAGAAGCAGTAGTTTGAGCAAAACAAGGGGATGCTTAATGGTTTAAAATCAGGAAAGGTATGTACTCGGGTTTTATCCTTTCACCATGCTTATTCGATCTGTATGCTGAGCACATAATCCAAGAAGCTGAATTATATGAAGAAGAGAATGGCATCAGGTTTGGAGGAAGACTCTTTAATAACCTGTTACGTGCAGATGATACAACATTGCTTGCTGGAAGTGAAGAGGACTTAAAATATTTACTGATTAAGATAAAAGACTTAAGTATGGGTTGGACTTCATTGTAAAGAAAACAAAAATCCTCATCACTGGGCCAATAAAAAACATCATGATAAATTGAGAAAAGATTGGAGTTGTCAAAGACTTCATTTTGCTTGAGTCCATAATCAATACTCATAGAATCAGCAGTCAAGAAATCAAGCAATGTATTGCATTAGGCAAATGTTCTGCTCAAGACCTCTTTAAAGTGCTCAAGAGCAAAGATAGCAGTTTGAGGACTAAAGTGTGCCTGACCCAAGCCATAGTAATCGGACAATGAATAATGAAGACCATAAGAAAATCAATGCATTTGTAGTATGAGTTGGGGAGGAATATTAAAAGTACTAGGGACTTTCAGAGGAACAAACCAATCTGTGTTGGCAGAAGTACATCCAGAATGCTCCTTAGAGGCCAGGATAGCAAGACTTCATCTCTCATCCTTGTTATCAGGTGAGACCAGTCCCTGAAGAAAGACATCATGCTTTGTAAAGTAGAGGGACAGCAAAAAAGGAGTTGACACAGTGTCAGTAGCATTGGGCACAAAGGTAACAACAGTTGTGATGATGCACTGGGCTGTGTTCCATTCTGTTGTGCATAGCGTCACTATGAGTCAAAGCGGATTCAACAGCACTATGAGAAAATAAATGTCTGTTTGTTAAAGCCATTCACTTGTGGTATTTCTATGATAGCAGCACGAGATGACTAAACAAGGTGGAAGAACTGGAAATACTGTGCTGCTTCTTCAAGGAGCAGACCTTTGTGCCTATTTCCATCTCAAGGCAGCTGTATCCAGGCTCCTCTCCTTGGCTTTTGATCTTTTGGCCAAAGCTAGACTCTGTTGGATTCTGTCCTTGGAAACTAGCACTTGAAAGTGGGTTGTTACCAGGAGTAACACCAGAAGTATGGAAGTATCTGAAGTGGGGTCAGGTGGGGTGTGAGGAGATAAAATTCCTTCTGTCCTGGGAAATGTGGAATCCTAGAAAATGTTCTTAGATGCTGAAATAGAGAGTGAAACTCACTTCTATTCTGGATTCAGACCACATGGCCCAAAGACTAAAACCTCTAGGGAGTCGGTGTACAAGTATCAAGAGGTTGCATTCTGTGGACTTCTCAAGTTGGGTTTTAAATTTTGAAATGAACTATAGGTGCAGAAGAATTTATAAGCTATATCTACAATTTGAAACATTATAGTAAAATAAAACCTGTGGATCCATCTACCAGATTAGAAAATAGGACGTTATTAGTATTTTAGAAGCCTCTTTTATTCACCTCACTGATCACATCCTGCTATAAATGGATACAACTCTAGTTCACGCTACTATGTGTGAACATACCACAATTTATTTCTCTATTCTAATGTTAATGGGCATTTTTGTTTTTCCAGTAATTATTATAAATAGTGTTGCAATAAATGTTTTTGAGCATGTCTTTTAGTGAACATATATACACACTTCTGTTGAATATATAAGGAACCCTGGTAGCACTATGGGTTAGGCATTGGGCTGTTAATTGCAAGGTCAATTGCAGGGGCCAGCCCTGCATGAATGGGTTCCTGGAGGCGGACGAAGAGTTAAAAGTGGCAGGAGACTCAAGATAGTCAGTCAAGAGTGCTTTATTACCTTACAGATGCAGTTTAAATACATTTTTCTTAGGCATGTGGGAGAGGACAAATTACACATCTATAGATAATGATTCGCAAGACCTTTGCTAGATCACAATACCATTGACATCATTCAGCAAGAATAATGTGTTGGAAATTAATACGTGTGAAGGTTGGTTTCGTAGATGGGGAGTACAATTTCCAGGACAATTATAAAGATAAGGATCAAGAACTTCATACTACAATAGTCACATACTTCAGAGTTCATTTCCTTAATTATACTTATTTTACTTCTATTCAGATCTGTGTGGTCTTGGCCCATTGCCGATATCTAGGTAGGTTTGCCTTGTAGTTCTCTCCAAGGTTTGTCTTGGGTCAGAGAGCTACCGCCAGGTGGGCTTCATACACTTCCTTTGATTCCTACAGTCAGTGGTTCAAACACATGAGTCATTTCTCAGGAGAAAGATGAGGTTGTCTGCTCCTGTAAAGATTTACAGTCTTGCAAACCCCATATGAGGTCACTATGAGTCAAAATCAATTCAATGGTAATGGGCGGGTTGAATATATACTCAAGAATGAAAATGCTGGATCACAGAATATTTGATTTTCAGCTCTGGAGTTATTGCCAAAGAGTTTTC